CCGGCCCTTATGTGGGGGCTGTGGTCACCCGGGCCCTTATGTGGGGGTTGTGGTCACCCGGGCCCTTATTTGGGGGCTGTAGTCAACCGGGTCCTTAATCAGGGCTGTGGTCACCCAGGCTCTTATGTGGGAGCTGTGGTCACCTGGGCCATTATGCGGGGGCTGTGGTCACCAGGGCTCTTATGTGGGGGCTGTGGTCACCCATTCCCTTATGTGGGGGCTGTGGTCAACCGGGCCCTTATTCGGGGGCTGTGGTCACCCGGGCCATCATTCGGGGGCTGTTGTCACCCGGGCCCTTATTCGGGGGCTGTGGTCACCTGGGCTCTTATTCAGGGGCTGTGGTCACCTGGGCCCTTATTTGGGGGATGGGTCACCCGGGCCCTTTTTGGGGGATGGGTCACCCGGGCCCTTATTCGGGGCTGTGGTCACTCGGGCCCCTATGTGGAGGCTGTTGTCACCCGGGCCCTTATTCGGGGCTGTGGTCAAGCGTGCCCTTAATCGGGGGCTGTGGTCACCCGGGCCATCATTCGGGGGCTGTTGTCACCCGGGCCCTTATTCGGGGGCTGTGGTCACCTGGGCTCTTATTCAGGGGCTGTGGTCACCTGGGCACTTATTTGGGTTTGGGTCACCCGGGCCCTTTTGGGGGATGGGTCATCCGGGCCCTTATTCGGGGCTGTGGTCACTCGGGCCCCTATGTGGAGGCTGTTGTGACCCGGGCCCTTATTCGGGGGCTGTGGTCACCCGGGCCCTTCTGCAGGGGCTGTGGTCACCCGGACCCTTATGTGGGGGCTGCGGTCACCTGGGCCTTTGTATTATACGCTGCATGTAAATATGTCTGTATTTGCTCTAGAACAGGCCTGTGTGCATGAGCCCTAAGATACAAAAAGCAATAAAACACTTTATTAGCTGCATGGGAAAGGCTTAGAACATCTGTCCAGTTTCCAATGGGGAAAGGAAACATTCACTCTGAAGTAAACTGAACAAAAGAGATATATAGGGTCCGTTATTGCTGATCTCTGTCCAAAACTACTAGTCTCCTGGCTGTGGTCCTGGCGTTCTGGCTTCAGTGCCGCAGGTAATTCAGAAATCAGCTGTTATCTGCATTCTTCTATTTGTATAATAATCATAAAAGTTCCCTCTTGTTTGGACATCAATGGAAATTGTGAAATCTGATCTTTATGAAATACAATACATCCGACAAGAAATATGTGCAGATTGTGAGAATTCGCTCCAAATGGTAGCGCATTAAGGACGCATCCACTCGCTTATGACTTCTTCCATCATTTGGTGCTGGTCACCACTAAAGCCCGGACTCAGGAATGGAGGTTTCTTCCCACCCAGTTCTCTTAGAAATCTCCCGGCTCCAGGATCCCAACTATAATCCAGAAAACCCGGAATGAGTTGTAAAACCAGCTCTTTCCTGGTAACAGTACTTTCCTGGAGCCGCTCAGCCCCTCTGGCTGAGAGTCCTGGGTGACCCTTTTTCCACTCTACATAGTGGCATTGCCACGCACTGCCACAATATATACAAGTAATCCACCATAATAGCACCAGCTAAAACCATCATATATAATACCGAGTGGGTCTCATTGGTAATATGTAAAATCTCCAAGTATATAAACTTGCAAGTCCATCGTGGCTGAAACCCCTGTGAGTACCATGATATTGTAGCTCCAGGATATGAACACAGTCTAAGAACATACGTGGTACCGAATATGTCAAAGATCTCGGTAGCAGCAGATCCAAATGAACAGAGATAGTTGATGTGACATTACAGCTCCCATCCAAAGGACAGGATATATACTGGTGCACTGCGATAAATAATGAATAGGGAACCCATAAGGAAAATACTGGTAATCATGTAAGGATCATATCGATGTGCACAAACATGTATGTTCATATTGGTTGATATTCTGATCCATTGTATTTGATCCCAGTGCCGTTGTGTGTCTTGGGATGTTTCCACTATGAATTACCCTGATACACAACTCTGCACTGATGCGGGCTGATGGTCCCTAAAATTGTTTCAAAAATAGGGTCCTGCAGCTGTATACACCACTTGCATGTGTAATCATCATGATAGCTACTTCATATAGAGTACTTCTGCCAAATCTCCATAAAGTGCAATATATAAAAAGATCTCACCCAGTATCCTCATTTAGGGCATTCCATGTACCCAGTATAACACAGGTTCAAGATTCAAAGTGTCACCATGCTACATCGCTAACCCGTTTCATAGCTTTAACTTCATCAAAGCAAACATGGAAGCAAACAAAACTATTTGTACTATTCCTATTTGTACTAATCTTCAGATGTTACACCTGAATATTGATCTTCAGCTATCAAACAGCTACATTGAGAATGCTGTAAGTCTATTTAATGGCAGTAAAGTCCCAGAAGTAGATGTGGTTCTTTTCTCTGAAGAGAGAATGATGGGCGCCACTCACTTCAGTAGACTTCAAAATAGAAAAAAAGGTTTATTGCATAAACAATATTGGAAGGAGGTTAAGAAACTGATCCGAATAGCTCCAAGTACACTGGTTTTCAAATGTTACACTAAGCTATCATCTCTTCTATATCTTTCCTTAAAGTCTCTGATGGTTACCTTCAAGATCATAGACTGTGCAGTTTGGAATCCTTCTGAGTCTTTATGGTGATTTCATCTTGTCATTTAATAATCGATTTCCAAATGAATGTTTGTACAAAATAACTTTTTATTAGTTTATGGGGTCAATTCGACGGATCATTTAGGCCGTAGTGAAGAAAAAAAGTTGAAGGAGCAGGATAGAAACATTTTCTCAAAAGAACAACATTTTAACAGTGAATGTGGTTTTCATTTGGGAAATCCTGTTTGTTTCAAAATCAAATGTAAAATAAATCAAAATTTAATTTGTCAAGTGTCTGATGGCATTATCGTGTGGTAAAGAAAGATCTTTCATTCAGAAATCTGCAAGTGTATGACCAGCTTTAGATTCAAGTGGTATCCAAGGATTGACAGCATTGAAAGGCTCCTGTATATAACTATAACTTCCTACTGAAGCATAGCTATCCCTAGGCCTTATACTCTTTTCTTCAAGCAACTAACACCTTCAAGGTTTTTTTCCCAGGAGATCCATGCGTTTTTTCATATGTGTAGGCCAAAGGCCTAGGAAAGACTGCCTTCCAAACTGAAATCCTCACAAGGCAAAAGCCCAATAGGAAAGAGACAAAATAGGAAGTGGCTCAGATATTTAACAGGTCTCTTAGAATGCTTCAGAATGTTCCCCAGACCTACCTATAGGCCAAGCTATCAAATATCCTTAATAGAATCATATATTTCTACCACATCCTGCTGGAGCAAGCTTATGCAACATGTGGCAGGTAAAATACACTCTGCTCTTTGAGAAACACTCCTATTAGTCTTGGTATAGTCCACTGCTGATTACAGAATTCACTGAAATACAAAAAGAGATTTTAATAAAAAAATACTACATGCCTATTTTTAATAATTTTTATTATTATTATTATTTAGGGATGCACCGATACTTGGCATTTATTATGAGAACTACCAGGGTTGCAGAGGTGGCAGCTGGGACCTGGCTCTGGCGCTCCACCACTGTCCTGAAATCATTAGTCTGTAATGTTTTAGAAAAACTGTCACATGACAATAAACAAAAATGTATCAGTACTTGTACTTGCAAAAATTGTATCGGTGCATCCCTTTATTTATAAAAACAAAATCATACATTAAAACAGAGATGTACAAATCCCAGGAGCTCCGTGTGCTCCTTACAAATGACAGCTGCCTCCTAACTTTTGAATTTTTCTTTAATCTAGTCTTGGAGCTCGAAAAGTATCTTTACTTGTACTTGTACCGAGTGCGGTACTTGGTATCGGTGCATCCATAATTATTATTATTATTTGCATTCTAATATTATAAAATGTACATTCTAATAATATAATAATAGGTTTACTAGATATAACCATTATGGTTCATTTATGAACATAGTGTAAGGCAGCACATATTAAGTCCCTCCAATTTTTCTTACCTCCACAGTTTTTCAAAGGTTGGCTGAGTGCGTATTCATTGATAATACATTCTGTCTTCAACAAGACAGCCATGTACCTTTCAGATATGGTCTTTCATATGCCAACACAAAGCATTTGATGTGCAATTGGCTAATAAACTAAACCACTTTAGGTGTATGCACACAAAGTACCAGAAAATAGGAAAATTGCACTTGTCCACATAAATCTGTTTTTATTTGCGGAGCAAGTCATGCATGCTGTGACCTCAATATCCCACTACGCAGAGCGTGTTCCAGCTTTGCATCGCAAGCATAAACGACTTAGCTACAAGCCTTGCCAAGCGTCGAACACTGGGACACCTTAAAGAAGTAATCTCGGAGATTATCCACAGCTGAACCATTGCCTTCCTCGAGAACTCAATAACAGTAAAATGAGTCAGATAGCTCCAGTAAGTATATGTTTGACAAGAAAATGCATTTGATGTTTCTAGAGAGGAACATCACCTATGGATCTAAGAGCATTTGAATGCGGTGGAACCACCAGGGGAACAAAACACGAGAATATTATCGCTCTATAGATTGAATTTAAATGTCATTTGGAAAGTTGATGTGTTGAAAGCAAGTGTACCCAGATTAAAGCCAACTGAGAATGAAGTCAACTTTCAAATTTCTGTCATTGTAAAATAATCCTTTCAAAATACATGTTGCATTGAACATGATAAATAGCTAGTAGTTGTAGAATGCAGAAATCATTTTCGCTATTGATTCCTGAGTGTTTGGAAAAATCCAGCATAAGCTATATGCAATTAACTTGACTATTTTTGTCAGTGCCAGCCCATGCTTGCAGCTGAGACGAGATTGAAAAAATTGCAATGAAAGTCCCTTTTCACCGCCATAAAACTGACCCTAGAGTTCGCTTTCTTCCGCGCCACTGCCTGGTGTATCATTATTTTAGCAAGTGGATTTGATGCCTATGTAGCCAGTAATTATTACCGTGAATATTCGGTTGATGTCCTGAAGCGGCGTCCGTCTCTGACACGCATATGGAGACACACGGACACATGATGAAGAGACTGGCATATTGAAACTGGCAGGGCAATCTTCTTGCACCTGAAGTGAAAAATACATACAAGGACAACAGCAATGTTAGATAAAGCAGATATTTATAACAGCCCCCCATCACGTTCTTTTAAAATAAATTTACAGACGTCTGTTTTACACTGAGCGCAGGATGCATGAATCTGTTAAAAAGAATATCCTCCAATTATGATCCCTGTGGTCAGAGGAGGTTTGCAATTTTGTGCAATTAACTTCACATGTGCAAAAGAACAATCAGCTCTGATTGCCCTTAAATATATTTATGTCGAAGCTTTAGAAAGGTGACGTGCTAGATGAGAAGACTTGTGATGTCTAATGTATGCAAGGAACTTTTTTTACAGTGTCCTATTTTTTTTCAGAATAAATCTATCATCCCCAGTAAAGAAAAAGTTAAAGTGTATCTAAACCCAAAAACAAAAATGGAATATGTTGAAGCTTACCAAACCTTATATATGGTGACTGTTAGTTTTCCTTTTTCAGGTTGTTTTCCTTTTTTTTTACCTGGTGATATGGCCAGTAACACACTTTCTGTCCTAGGTTGACAACTCTCACACACTGTACTGTATGGAGGAGCAGCAGATTAACAATTTACTGACCACAATACTTCTTTTTAAGTCTTTACGCATAATGGATTGTGCCATAAAACTGTTAATTAACTATCAGCAGAGAACTTCCAATGTATACCCGTGCATGTTCCTAATTCTCATACCACCCCCCTACTGTCAAACTGACAAAATGGTCATAGAGTTATAGTCAAGTTAACTATTTACAAGTGTCCCATTGCACTGCAGACTGTAATCCCTTAGTGATATACTGGAAGGGTGCTGGGTGAGAAGGGGATGGCGCCACACAGATTCAAGTGTAAAGAAGTAGTCGCCCGCACACCAAGGTCCCATGCATCAATCCGTCCTTTTATTGACATCAGATACACATGGCATCACAAGCATACTGACATGGCTCAAGTTAACTGACGCACACTGACACTGCTAAATTTATATATTTTAACAAAAATAAACACAGCAGGTGCTCTGGACTGATTAGTCAAAATTTGAACTATCTGGCTGTAGCAGGAGACAGTTTGTTCACCGAAGGGCTGGAGAGCAGTACAATAATGAGTATATGCAGCCAATAGTGAAGCATGGTGGAGATTCCTTGCAAGTCTGGGGCTGAATTTTTGCAAATGGAGTTGGAGATTAGGTCAGGATCAATGGTGCCCTTAATGCTGAGAAATACAAGCAGATACTTATCCATCATGCCATACCATCAGGGAGTCAGGTGATTGGCCCCAAATTTATTCTGCAGCAGGACAACGACCCCAAATATACAGCCATGGATATTAAAGACTATCTTCAGTGTAAAGAAGAACAATGAGTCCTGGTCCTGGAAGTAATGGTTTGACTTCCACAGAGCCCTGATCTCAACATCACTGAGTCTGTCTGGCATTACACAGAGACAGAAGGATTTGAGGCAGCTTACATCCACAGAAGATCTGTGGGTAGCTCTCCAAGATGTTTGGAACAACCTACCTGCCAAGTTTCTTCAAAAACTGTGTGCAAGTGTACCTAGAAGAATATTTTAATAGAAGCTGTTTTGAAGGCAAAGGGTGGTCACACCAAATATTGATTTGATTTATATTTTCCTTCTGTTTATTTACTTTCCATTTTGTTAATTGATAAAAATAAACTCTTAACAATTTTATTTATGAAAGTATTCTTACTTTACAACATTTTTTCACACCTGCCTAAAACTTGTGCACAGTACTGTATATTGAAACTTTATATACCGCCTCTTCTATACAATTATTATACAGTGTGAAATTCCCACACTTCTGGCATGATATAAATTAGATTAAAAATCATATATGCAAAACCATTCACTTGAAACTCTTGTCCATTGTTCCATGCAAACATCCACAATTCTCCCGATTCTGTGCTAAACTCCAGTCACACTGCAACCACAAATGAATCCTCCGTGTTGTGGTGTTCCTGTCTCTCAACCCCTGTGGCCACCCCTCTTCAACTTGAAAATTAAACTATGGGGGTTATTCACTAAAGAGCGGAAGGATCCAGCCATTGCTTCATCTGATCCTTCGGCTCGTCTCGGCCGCCTGATCCCTTTGGTTCAGTCGAACCAAAGGGCTGCTGTATGTGCATCTGATTTCAGCCGACGTACGGCTGAAATCAGCAAACTGAGCCGGAGTGAATAGCTGAACGTAGTTCGCCTCTGTTCACTTCGGCTGGGTTATTCTCTCGGCTGCCTTCGGCAGCTTTGTGAATAACCCTATATATCTTCTGTGTTGTAATTCACCTATCAAGACTGCTGTGCTCTTCAACTTTCAACATCCACAAAACACCACTTCCTCAACCACGTCCACAACCTCTGTACTCTCACACTTTCCTGGGGCTATTGCTCACCTTGGTCTAAAGACCACAACTAATGTACATCAGTTTGGTCAATCAGAGCTTAGCTATCAGTCTGCATTCCTCAGTGCTGTGGTCAGAAGGAATGCAATAGGCAAAACATTGCGTAAAATCATGGATAAACTTTATAAAAATAATAGTTTAAAACACGCTTCCGTTTCCAAGTACACTGCACTATGCACATAGACCTGCTCCTAATTTAAATTCTGCTTAAAATCCTGTAGGTATCGCCAGCTGCTGTCCAGACCACATGAATCCCCACTCAGGCTTACACTTCCCGGTCTCTCTGTAGCTTAGCTCCTGTCATATTTGCATATTTTGCATATATTACTTGCTTTATATCAACACCTTAAACAGCTAGTATGACTACTGTTATTTTATTTCATAAAGGAAATCTTACTAAAATGAAAATCTTTCTAAAAAAGGAGTGCTTACTAAAATGGAAGGGATCCCAACAACTTCACATGTAAAAACCTATGTTAATCTCATCACAGACATTGTACCTAAGAAGAGAGTGCTATGAAACCTGCCAGTGTGGGGGATAAGATAAGTAAAACAACCTCCTCTCCTCCCCCCTAGACGTAATTAGCGTTTAACCTTTGCAGTGCAGGGTAGCCACACTGCGAGGGTTTTTTCTCCAGCCCAGGGTTCAGTTTAGGACTGAACTTTAGACACGCAGCTAAACACACAGTTGAAATAAAAAGTAGGAGATGGTTTTTAATGCCAAAAAGGTTTGCAATTATGTTTAGCCATTTTTGTGACACAGTCCTGCCAAACAGTGCAGCCAGACTCTCTGCTCTCTATGCTCTGTTCCTCTGTCAGCACATGTGCACTACAATGGTGCCTCATTGGCTGAGTGCTGACCCTCCCTCTCCTAATTTTTAACAATGCAGTTAATGATTGTTAAATGCAAACATAACTGCATTGACTGGTGTTTTTCATATGTCTGGCATTTAGCTTTACAGGCCAATTTAAGTCACACAGAAATATATATCTTCAGTCAGACAGATTATTTATTTACATGCTCTTTTTCCTAGTTCCACCTTACATAGCAGCTATGCAGGATATGAATGTACAGTTAAATAGGCACCAAGTTAAGACCTCCTGCTCTCAGTAGCAGACCTAGTTAGAAACACCAACTCCTCTAGTCTGTGTTGGGGGCTTGTGCTGATGGGTGTGGCTGTTACTAAGCTCTGCCAATACAGGCAACTGAGTGTGAAGGTAGGGAAAGGTATTTGACAGCATTTGCAAGCAAAAATCAGTCACAAATTTAAACATGCATGGTACATAACTATTCAGAGATTAAAAGGTGGCTTTAATTAGACTTTAAGTTAAAGTTATGTGACCAAATATGCACCCTACAGTGACATCATACTACATCATACATGGCATTCCCGGGATCCTAAAACTTAAAACATTGATTGCTATGTCAACCCCAATTTGGGCCCTAGATTAGCTGACCAGATATGTAACCCAAAGTGACATCACGCCATATGACATTGCCAGGAGTCCAAAGTTGAGTTTTTCTGAGCTGTAATTGTAATCTTGATTCAAAATACAATGTGCTTTCCGTGAATTTTGATGAAAGTCAAGTTAATCACGTTGAAAATCAGGACGTTAGTATTTTTTTGCACATAATAACGGGGAAATAACAAAGGCTCCTAAAGGAGCACTTGAGGGCTGAGTAATATAGCTATTACTCATTGCTGTATATCGTTTCTGTCCATATTCAACAATGAAAATTTAGCAAAAATCAAGTAAAACAGTATAAATAGCTACCTATTCCGAGAAAAATAATTAAAATAATAACTCATCTAACCTTCAGGAATATGACTGTGCTGAACACTAATGGTCAATCATGTGCCAGTAAATAAAAGGTGACCTTTAAAAACAGAGAAAACTTGTTTGAAATAGTGCATCTGTATTCTGAAAAGTCTAGGTCATAGCTAGAGAGCAAAGTTGTAAAAGATAACCACTTATATTAAAATAGTGACTACACAACAGACTGCAAAAACATGTAGCAGCAGTAGACAGAAGAAAACGTCTGATTTATAATGGTTGGCTATATAGATTTTATTGAGGGTTTAATCTATCAGCAGGAAAGTGTAAAAACACCTTCAATGGGAGAGTAATGCCAGTGGATTGAGGATATTTCAACAGACTTCTGCTACCCTGAGACCCACTAGAGCAGGGGTGGGCAACTCTGGCCTCCAGCTGCTGGGGAACTGAAGTTCCCATGAGGCATTGCAAGGCTGACAGTTATAGGCATGACTTGCAGAGGCATGTTGGGATTGTAGCTAAAGCACAGGTGGAGGGCCATAGTTGACCACCCTTGCCTTGAAACTAAGTCCAGGTTTCAGGAAAATTCTCTTCAAAATTACCTATCCGCCAAATACCAAAGTGGTTCGGCTCGGCAATCCTGCTCGATACCTCTGTGGTATCAAGCAGAATAGAAAAATAGTTTAAAAAGTAGAGAAAAAAGAATAGAAAACAATTGTGTGGATCTAGCAGTGACAGCTAGCTCCGCCCAACTGTTTTCTATTGGCCGGGCGGTTCTGCTGCCGTCAAAATAAAAAGAAATACAAAAAAAAA